GTTGCCCTCGCTCCCAAAGCGGCGGTTGGGATGAGCCAGCCTGAGCCACGCATCCAGGCTCCTTTGCCAGCAGCAGTCCCGGAGGAATTGTGCAAGGCAGGAACCATCCACGCACCAGTCACTGCCGAGGCGTTCCCAGTCCCGGGGCACGCCGTGCCAGCGCGTGTCGCAGCAAAGCTCCGATCCCGGGGCGTGCAGTGACTCCGCCGAGGCCAGGAGCCTTGCAGAGTCCTCGGAGGTGTCAGCTCAGCGTCACCCCAAACCCCGCGGGGCTCAGGGTGCCGAGGCTTCTCCCCAGGGCAGGGGACGTGGCTGCGGGAGGGCGTTCGCTCCTCCTCGCCCAGGCATGGACCCAAACAGCTGCGGAGCGGTCGGCCGCTCATGGTGGTCAAGTTTAGAGGGGCTGCTGGAGCTTTTGGGGAGAGCAGGGTTTCTGGGAGAGCTGGCAACGCTGCAGCCATGGGACGGTGGCTGGAGCAGGAGGACACGGCCAGCACTGCTCAGCACAGTGCATCCGCGCTCCGCTACTCAGCCGACACGTGGCTGGGCCAGCCAGGAGATGTTTTCTGGCTGCACAAAGCCAGATAAATATTTCTTCCTCATTTTTAGCCCTTCAGCCAGGTCTATCCCTTTTTGGACAAGAAAAAACTCCTTTTCGTTTCCGCCAAAAAACTTTTGACCGAGCAAACAGGGGCTGTTTCCTGAGCAGCTCCGTTCACCGAGGTGTGGGGAGATGTCCGAGGCATGACGGAGCCCTCCCAGCGGCTCTCAGCTCGGTTTAGCACGTGAACATGAGCTACGGCTCTTCTCAGAGCAGCGTCCCTGAGTCCCTGGCCTGACTCAAGACCTCGCTGCGTCGTGCAAACACAGACCAAAGGACAGCCCTGCCTCTAGAAGGGCTCACTTGGAGGACAAATCAACTTGTGACAAAAGAGCTATTGGTGGCTGGAGCTCCCCAAATATTTAGTTACATGCTCCTGGCCGCTGAAACCACGTAAAACCCTGAGTGCAAGTTGTTTCTGAGATAATCAGGCAAAATCTCCCACCACCGTCCTGCCTGGCTGAGGACAAGCGAAGTTCTCACACGGTGGAGGTGCCGCAGCTCAGACAGGTCCATCGGGGCGATGCTCTGACAGCTCTGCTCCGAAGCGTGTGCCGAGGACAGGCCACCACACAAACCAGTGAAGCTGCCCAGCTTCCCAGCCAACGGGAAGCCCAGTTCTTCCTCCAAGCAAGAAGAACTCAGCGCTTGCGTGAAACAAGACGAGACCGTGGCAAATCCTCCCGCCTTCAAGGCAACCCAGCGGCTGGTTTGTAGCAGGCGATGCTCTGACAGCTCTGCTCCGAAGCGTGTGCCGAGGACAGGCCACCACACAAACCAGTGAAGCTGCCCAGCTTCCCAGCCAACGGGAAGCCCAGTTCTGCCTCCAAGCAAGAAGAACTCAGCGCTTGCGTGAAACAAGACGAGACCGTGGCAAATCCTCCCGCCTTCAAGGCAACCCAGCGGCTGGTTTGTAGCAGAAGAAACTCCACTTCTGCAGCAGCCTTGCAAAACTCCTCACCGTTAATCCCGAGGGGAGTCAGCTGCTTCTGAACCACCAGCTGCAGCCCGCTGGCAGCGTCAGGAGTGACGAAGCTCCCTTCTGCCAAATAGACCACAGTTCACCTTTTGTGCAAGAAGATGGCAACAGAGGCACGTAGTCACATGCCAGGTCCTGCTCCGCCCAGAGCCTGATGCCCACAAGCCACTCCTTGTTGCTGCACCTGCCTTGAAGACCGAGCTCTTCTTGGTCACCTCTCCGAGTCTGTCTCCTCTCCTAACGACCTCAGGGGAGTCGCGAAGGGCAAAACACCCGAGTTCACGGCGCGTTTTCCATTGCGCCCGACTGGCTCCTCCGCTCACCTCCAGTGGGCACGGGGGGACTGAGAATAAGGTACTAGAAAAATATTTCTCTTTGTCCTCCCCCAGTGTGGGAGGGTGGAGGAGCCGGGGGAAGGCGGGCTTGCACAACGAAAGCACTGCAAGATGCATCCAGAAGAAACTGGTGGACGAGGCTAAAGACCAGGGGAAGTCTCAACCCGTCAAAGAGAAGCACAAACCACCTCATCACAAACTGAGTCCCCCAGAGCTCGAGGAAGCCCTCCACCACGAAAACATCCCTCACCCTTTCCCCTGTGAAGCTCTGCCGGATCCTATCTCGCAAGGAACCAGCTGCTCCAGCACCATCTGCTTTCAACCCATCGTTGGCCCCTTCCCATCGGACGCACCGGCTGGTTTAGCCCCTCTGCCAAAGCAAAGCTCCATTACTCACTGCCAGACACGCAGCCCAGGGCCATTCCTGCCCCGACAAGTAGGATCCAGGTCTTCATGGTCCCGTAGACAGCAGGCTGGGCGTTTCGGAGCGTTCCGGAGAGCAGGTTGGGAATGATGGTGCTGCCTGGCACTCCCTGCTATATGTGCGTCCCCTGGGAGTACGGGGGGAGGGAGGAGCGTGATGCCACCAAGGACCTCATGGGCAGGCTGCACCCAAACTTTGACAAAACTCATTATGTACATGGCTTAATTATAGGCTGTGTCCTCCAGGGAGGAGGGCTGGTAAATCCAGTCTCCCAGTATTGCTCCACTCGGTGTACATGACCCCTGGGCACGATTGAGGAGCATGGGGAAAGCTTCTCAGTGGGGTCTTTGCCCACCCAGAGCCCAAAAGGTATATTAGAGATGCAAGCTGGTGACCAGTGCCACAGCTTGGTCCCTTGACATGCCACATGCGCCCACGCAACTGGTGCTAACTGGGGGCAACATTCTGCTCGCCGGTTAATTGGAGGTAACACTCTCTCCTTCCTCAGCTGCTGTCTCTGGAGGCTCTGTCCCCCTCACGACACAGACCAGCCTAGTTGAAGACTCCAGGTCCTCCAGCAGCACAAGGAAACCACACAGCCACAAGCCAGCTCCTCCAGCATTGTGGCTGCTCAGGGAGGGAAGGAAACCCCCCCAGCCACAAGCCAGCTCCTCCAGCATTGTGGCTGCTCAGGGAGGAGGTCTGGTGGGCTATCCCAGAGTGGTCTCACTCCCGGTGCAAGCCCAGGGCCGGTCCAGCCCCTCTCTCCACGGGGCTGCCCTTCTCCAGGGAGCCTCCACGGCATCCCACTGGAAGATGTTCCCAGATGGTGGGTGTTTTGGTGTATCTTGCAGGAGAGACAGCTTTCCATGCTACCACAGCCTGAGGGAGACCTGGCTCCCACCGGTTCCCAGTCCTGGAGCATGTCATAGATGCTGACCGGTACACCCAAAGGCATGGGGGTGACCAGAATGGCCCAGGTCAGCACCCATCCTGCCTCCAAGCACATCTTCACGCTGCCTCTGAACCGTGCCACAGCCTCCCTGTTTTCGAAGCGGCGTCGCAATCGTCCCGGAGCCGATGTCCATCCACATCCCTCCACCGCCCAGCTCAGCCGCTCCCAGGGCTGCACTCAAAGCCGCATCAGGAAAATAATCCAGATCTAACTCACCACCCTTCTGGAGGCTGGTTTAAAAACTGTTATTTTCCCACTCTGGTTTGGAGAGCAATGCACCGGGGTGAGCAGGAAGGAACCTCCTCAACCTGTTTTGCTGCTGGAGTGTGTTGGGGAAGTTCAGCTCTTCCACACTTCTGCCCATCACTTCCCAGCCACCGTCCCTCAAGGGTTGGCGTGGGCTGACCTCAACTCATCCATCAGGGAGCACGGCTGTATTGTCCACCAGCATTGCCCTTCCTTTGTCTTTCCAGGAAAATAACGAAGAGCCCAACGGCACGTCTTGTTGCTGCACCTGAGGGTCCATCACAGCCACCGGCCGGTTTCTCGCTTCACCTCACATGGTGATGTGGTTTCTCAGGAAGCCTCATCACAAGCCTTGCCCAAAGCCCAAATGTTTTATATCAAGCCATTTCTCCGCCTCCTGGACAGTGCACGGCGACAGACTCAGGGATGGCCCAATACTGGCTGGTTCCTTGTGGTCCATGTCCCTCTGGTTTGTCCAGGTGTTTGTCAGGAAGAGTCCCCAGCCGGAGGCTCCTGGAGCTTCTGTAAACTGCCCTGGGCTCTCCTGGGCTGCCTGCCATGGTGGCTGCCAGACAGCCACGCTCCCAATGCTTCCATCACCAGAAGCAGCAGGTCCAGGACAGGGTCTCCCCACCACGGAGGGGATCACTCCCTGGGCATCTCCAACTTGGCAGGTGATAACTGACCTCCAAACACCACCCAAGCCAAGGGGAGGCAATTTCTGCCCTCCATCAGCGGAGCAGGCAGTAGCTGCCTGCAATTTGTCCTGCCAACACATTGCAACAGCCTTAATCCCCCGGGGTGCATTAGCTGGCACAGGAGAGCAGCATTTGGTGTAACACTGACCAGGTTTGGCTTCTTTGTCACCCTTCAGTCATTTCCTACCTTCCACCCTGGGCTGGTGACCCTGATGACCTGCCCTCCCCGAGAGCAGCCTTGTTTATTCTGTCATCTTTGTGTCACCCTGTGCTGAGGTGGCTCTTTGAGTCCATCAACCGGCTCACGCGCAAGCCAACCTTTCCCCAACTCCAGGCTGTGCCTCAAGGCCTGCTGGGGGCAAGTAGCTCACATCAGCGGGGTTGGACATCGGATGGATGGCTGCAGCCATCGTGCATCTGTCTTGCTCCTCGGAGATGCCCAGGAAGAGCAGGAGCCTGGAGACAGAGCGAGTCCCACAGTGCTCAGTGAGGGAGCTGGTTGCCCACCACGGAGAAGGATGGAGGTGAAGCCCATCTCTTCCTGCCAAAGGTTGCTTTCCCAGCCTCACCACGGAGGATGATGCCTTTTGCCTTGGGCTTAACGGGGAGCATCAGCTCCACCAGTCGAGACATGGGAACAGCATGTTTGTCCCTGTTTCTCAGCCACACCCCCCATGGTTCAGCACGTCTTGTTCCCACCTCTACCTTCCAGCAGTGCTGGACCACCAGGCACCAAAGCCCTCCGAACTCCTGGGGACAACACGCTTCTCCTCGCCCGGTCTCACGGTCTGCAGGTCCAGGGGCAAGAGCAGGTAGGTGTGTGCTGGGCCATGGTCCAGAGCCAGTCACCGGTGACAGAAGGACAGCGTTGCAGGCTGTCACCAAACCCTGTGACCTCATTCCAGGTGCTCACCCACGATGGGTGTTGCAGGAGGGTGATGAGTCAAGAGCCCCGGGGCTGGCTCCACGTCGCTCTCGCATTAGATCCCAGGAGATGGCACCTGCCCACACGCTGAGCCCGCGGCAGCCAGCCAGGACTCCGGGCAGCCACCCTTGCTCCCGTGCCCGGCAATGCCATCAGCTCTCACCCCTTGAGCTACATCCTCGTCCAGAACCTGGCTTTACCCATGATCTTGCTTGAGGACACAAGCATCCAGCCTCTCCTTTTCACACAGTCCAGTGTCTTCTACGAGCAGGGCTGCCCGACACCGAGCTTCATCCCCAGCCCCTCCTGCCATCCTCTCCACAGCCCCCTGGATTCCCTTTTCCAGAATATTCCTCCAGGTTTTCCCTCACCCTTGGGACATCACGGGGCTTCTGCAGCTCCATGGGAATTGCTGGTGGGGCTGGACCTTCGTGCTCATGCTCCTGGGGAAAACACAGCTTGTGGAGGATACAGGTTTGTGGGTTGTGGAGGTGCATGGACCACCGCGAGCCCCACAGTGGGATGCTCTTCACAGCCTGCACCGGGAAAACCAGACAACGGTCAACTTTTCCACTGGAGCCAACTTCTCCAGCCAAGCCAGCCAACTGGCCCAGCATCCCACCTGCCGCCGGGGAAGGGAAAGCCCCGAGACACATCCACCGACTTGGCCAGCCAACCTGGGGACTGGAGGCAATCTGCAGGCCCAGAAACATCTGGAAAATGTGCAGCTCTGGTTTAACCCTTCCTTCCCCACACACGAGTGCTTTCATTTCAAGGCTCCTTTGGTCCTTGAGGGCAAACATCCTGGGAAAGGACTGTGGGAGGTCCGGGCTGCCCGATTTGGGTCCAGATGCCAGGGGATCACCATCACCTGCTTTGCCCTGGCTTGCCTGGACACGCACGCTGCTGAGATCACGCGTGGGGCTGGAAACCGGGAGATGCCAGGTGTCCAAACCCGGTCCCCGTCGAGCACAGCCACCCACTGCCTTGCAGAGAACCCCACAGCCATGTCCATCCACGTCCCCCAACCTGGGGGTCCTGGGATGGACGTGGTGCTGGGAGCTGCAAGGAACCTGCATCCCACCTCGTAGCTGCCTACACGGCTTGAAACGTTATTTAGGTGTGATGGGGACTTTTATTTTAAGCAACCCGTTCGCCTGCATGGCAAAAATAAAAATCGCATTTAATGCAGCAACGCTCTGGTCCCTTCTCGCCCAGCAGCACTTGGGGCAAGGCTGGGGGGGGGCTTTGGCTGGCGGCTCCAGCCGGGGCACAGACCTGCCAGGGGCTGCGAACCTCCCCCACGCCGGTGCCCTGCAAACGTGGGAGCTTTGAGGGGTCCCCGATCCACCCGGAACCCTTGCAGCTTCATCCAGGCCTGCTCAGAGCGCTGGGAAGGTTCATTGCTAAAACCGCTCTGTGCGCAGCGAGATGCTCTGGAGGGAGGGATGGGGGTCCCCACCCCTGGGGTCCGTCAGCTCTGCCTCCTTCAAAGACATCTCCCCAAAAACCCCTGCTCGTGGCCCAGCAGCAACTGGTCAAGGGTTGGGAACGGCCAGAGCAGATCGTCGTCTCCATCAGGAGGCCACCACAGCTTCCTCCCATGACGGATGCTGTCTCGCCTCCACACCTCGGCTGTACGTGGCTATTCCTGCCCTCATCCATGTGGGGAAACTGAGGCACGGAGAAGGCTGCGATAGGCCCAAGGTTTGGCAGCATGGGCTGCTTTAAGCCCCAAAAGTCCAGGGGAGGGGTGTCAAGATCTTCTTCCCTGTGGCTGCTGGAGTCGTGCTGCTCCCAGAAGCTGGGACAGGGGACGCAGCCAGCACCTCCCGTGGGACACACAGGACAGAGGGGAGGGCAGGTCCCCTCTGGGGCTGCCCCCAGGATCCGTGGGGCAGCACAGCAGCGCGACCCAGACCCCGAGCTCAGCCCTGGGTGTCTGCACCCCGATGGCGACAGACGTGGTGTCCCCTCCTCCTCTGGCCTGAGTCCCTCCAGGAGGAA